GCTCTCATAGCTATTAAGTATAAGTGTTAAATCCAGAAGGGTAGCTAGTCCTAAAGGGTTAGGGTTGGTTCTCGGGCAAGACAACTAAGGGAAGGGAAGGGGTTTTGTCAAGACGATAGTATTAGAGGAGGATATAACGAGTTAATAATATAGCCTGAGTGTAATCCAAACGATAGATTAATAAACAGGTTGAACACGAGTATAAGGGTTCATACCCACGTTCCTATATACCGAGCCTAATTAGTTACTTAGTTGAACTGATCATAGTAATTAAGTCGTGCTTAGTAATTAGTATGCGAGTTGCTTAGTGTGATTAGTGGGCTTGGCGCACTAATCACTCTAATTAAGTCACGTGACCACGGTCACACCTATGTCCTGGTTACTTTGCCTAATTACATGTATGGTCCGGATGACTATTCATCTCGGATCCTAACATCACCCCCTCTCTTCCTCAGATCTGCCCTCAGATCATGTGACCTGGTCTCGTGCCTAGATATAACCGGAGTGGGCCCCCGCGTCATAAGTAGCGTCCGCCTGGTCTCACATTATGCCCAAACAACCCGCTTCCAGTACCTCCCGTCGTCGTCTCTTATCCAACTTTATTGACTCTTTTGGCGAAGCCATGGTGAAGAAATGTTCGACCTATATTAAACACAGCCGTGTCTGTAAGGTCCACGTTCGTTCTAGGAAGTGTGGCGAATACATTCGTCGTGGTCAGCGCTGTGATGTACGAGTTTCGGAATCCGAATTCAAGCGACTACTTACCAAGAAAGAGAAGTTGCGTCTGAAAATAAAAGAATTGAGAGAAACGTAGGAAGCTACATTCAAGGCCTATAAAAAGGCGTTAGAAGAGTTACGTGTTATGCGCGCGCGCAAAGATTAATTATATTAGTAGATGGATTTATTAGATAAGCGTACTAAAGAAGTAATTGCCGTGGAGGAGTAGAGTATTAAGGAAGCCGAATTACGAGAGGTCCCCAGCTTCCTTTTATCCTTGGAAGAGGTTCCCTTAGGTCCTTCCCTATCTCCCGCCACCTAGGGTGCTTTTGAAGGTCTCCCTAATGAGTTTTAGGACGCTTCTAGCCTATTACCATCCTAGGTATGTTACAATCTTTACTACTAGAGTGGTGATATTCTTAAGAAGAATTCTTATATGCGTTACTAATAATTAGAGAGGTTTCCCTTTAGTTCCTATATATTTTCGCTTAGTAGGTATCCTTTCCATTTAATGAGATATTCTTCTTTATCTATAAACGGATTATATATTTATAGGATTCATTCCACTTTAAATTCTATCTCTTCCTCTGGCTAGTAGTAGAAGGTGGGTTCGACTAGTATATCCTAATCTACTAATTCTAGTAGTAATATGTGGAATACTGTGTATATATTTACGTCTAGTAGTAACTCTAGTTTATAGTTTACTAGTAATATTTATTTGGAAATATAAAATGGTCCAACCCTAATATAATCTAGTTTCTTATATTTTCTCTTCTAGGTATAAAGATTCTTTATAAGTAGATATACTTTATCCCCCTTCTTTAGCTAAGGTGCCATTTTACATTTTTAGTTTATATAGGAAATTGCTTACTATTAAGCTTTCTTAAGATTTTCTTAGAGTTATTTATATATTTATTTTATATTTTCTACCATATCTATAGCTTCTTTTACTTTAACATTCGTAGGAAGTGTTTAATTAAAGAGATGTGGGTATCGTCCGTAATTTGCGTAATATGGTGTATATTTTATTATTATTAATATCTTATTATTATACGCGAGTTGTGCCATAGGTAGTAGTAAAACCCAGTTATTTTTCTAATTATTATAGTATATGCAGAGATATATCTCTATAGTTTAGTTTATTCTTTCTATTTTTCCATCCGTCTGTGGATGATATGCGGTTGATAGCTTTCGTTTTGTTCCAATGAGTGCTGTGAACGTGGTCCAAAAGTTTAATATAAAGAGTTTATCTCTATCGCTTATAATTATTTTTGGTATACCATGGTGTCACATCCATCTATCTATAAAGAGATACGCGAGTTCTTTCACTATAATCCTTTTAAGACATAGAATGAGTTTAATGTAGCTAGTAAGTTGGTATATAATAATGAGTATGCTATTATACGAGACTTCTATAGCT